TTCGGCGTAGATATAGCTGCGATCCAGGAGACGCACTTTGCTTGCGAGGATAATGCGCGTGTCCTGTCTAGCGACTATTTTTGTCTATTCAGCATACGTGGACCAGCCGGTCAGAGATGTTTCCCTGGGTGCGAGGGTGAACCTTGTCCACGTAGATACGGGGTGGGTGGACGGTTGATTGTGGCTGATATTGCCGTGAACAGTGGTTCGTTTCGGATCGTTGCGGTTTATGCGCCCAACGATTAGGGGGAGCATGTCTCGTTTTTTCGACAGTTGGCGCCGTTCCCGGTCTATTCCTCGCGCTTAATCTTAGTCGGGAACTTGAATGCCATCCTGGACCCCAAGATAGACATTCGTGAAGTGAAAAACCCAGAGGGGTGTACTCTGAAAGAGGCTTCAATTTTGGTGGGGAGTGTTAGGGACGCCTTCCCTAGCCTTACTATCACTCCTCCTATTTCCTTGGCTAAGCGCCGTTGTATGTCCGGGAAATTGTCGATTTTCCTCAACGAGTGTCGAGCGGCTTGATGGCTTTTGATCGGTCCAGCGACCTTTCACGGCCTCGAAAGGTCTTGTAAGGTGAATTAGTGGAGGGGGTCGTGAAAGACCGTCTCTGTGAGCGGCTCGGCTTGACGAGTTGCGCTCTTTCTGGTCTTGGGCGCCAGCGGCGAATTACCTCAGTAACACTGAGTTTTCGCTTACATGGCGATTGATCCGTAACGTGCTATCTCTCAACGACATGGCCTTCAGATCGGGATGGGCGGATTTGCCCGACTGTTACCGGCGTAACCTTGGTTTAGAAGAAACGGCTTTGCATGCCTTCTACCATTGTCCTCAGGTACGCCCTTTCTGCGACTATGTCGGTGAGCTGACGGCTCGTATCGCTCCCGATCAGCTTGTGCTCATCGATCTCACATGCATGTGCGACAATGTGTCGCCCCCGTATTCTGGGGTGAAACGAATGGTGTTTCTAACGTGGCTAACCGTGGCAAGAATGGTGATCTCGATGACGCGAAGGGAGGGGATCTTGCGACGGGAACGCTATTCTCATCAGATTTTGATCAGATACTTTCAGCATCAGCTGAAAGTGAAGATCCGAACTGATAGAAAGCGTTTGGTGTCGACAGATTTCAACGAAAGGTGGATAAAAGTAGCGAGGTTGGTTTGCGTGAAAGAGGCTATCCTTGAGTTACTTTTTTAAGTCCTCTTTCGTCACAACGGTGCGGTTTCCTGCGAACCATAGCCCTCGTTAAGGTAGACTTTTTTTGTGTACCTAGTTAATGTGAGTGAGTGCCGTTCCTGGCCTGTTCCCGGCTCCTTACTTCTGTTATGAGCCAAGTTGAGATTTCCAACCTCCCCAGATGGTTTTGAATCGGGTTAGCTAGGTATAGGATAGGTGAGGATAACCACCCTCAACCCCACTCCCCACTTTTTAGGCCATGTGCCACAATTATTGTATTTTACAATAATAAATAGAATCTATCTACCTATCTATCCATATTAACTTGTTCATATCTATCTATCTATCTATCTATCTATCGTATCCTCTTCATATCTATCTATCTATCTATCTGTCTTTCTATCTCATCCTGTTATATCTATCTGATCCTGTTCATATCTATCATGTTCATAACTATCTATATATCTATATAATTCTGTTCATATCTAATTATTTATCTCATTTTTCATTATCTATCGATCTATCATACAAACTATCTATCTATCAATATATATATATATATATATATATATATATATATATATATATATATACACATAAATATATATATATATATATATATACCCAGCGATATATCTATTATCTCTCACATCAGTGAAATTGAAGCGACACAGAAGGCACTTGAACGGTACGAAAAAGTCACAGGCTCCAAGATTAACCGTAACAAGTCTTCCGGTTTGCGGTTAGGTGCCTGGGTAGGGGTCTCTCTTTCTGGTACCTTTAGTTAGACGGACGGCCCTGTCTCGGAGTGTGGTTTGGACCCAACCTCTAGCTGGAGAAAAATTGATCAGAAGTCCAGGCAAAGGTCAGAGCGTCGGTCCAGACTTGAAACCAAAGAAGGTTGTCCTTGAAGGGTACAGCTGAGGGGTCCACCACTTACGTCTTTCCGCTCATCCTTTACTGGTTGGCTGTACTTCCTCTTTGCAAGGACCATAGGAAGGCGATCGAGCGCTTGTTGTCCACCCTCTTGTGTGGTGGCGCAAGCAGAAGGTCCGTAACGAAGCTTGTGTCGAACGTCTGTGTTATGGGGCGGGGTTAGCATTGCCACACTTGGTGAGTCATCGACACGCCTCGAGGTTGGCTTTCCATCGCCGTGTTTAGACAGAGTATTCGATTTTGGTGGGGAGTGTTAGGGATGCCTTCCCTAGCCTTACTATCACTCCTCCTATTTCCTGGGCTAAGCACCGTCGTAGGTCCTGGAAATTGTCGACTTTCCTCAACGAGTGCCGAGCGGCCTTAAGGATTTTTCCTCATTTCAGTGACTTTTCACTGTCGCGAAAGGTCTTGTATTGTGAATTAGTGGAGGGGGTCGCAAAGGACCGCCTCTGTGAGAGGCACCCTCTTGTCGCTGGACGAGTTGCGCTCTTGCTGGTCCTGAGTTTTCACTTACCTGACGATTGATTCGAAACGTGCTATCTCTCAACATCATGGCCTTTAGATGGGACTGCGTAGATTTGTCCGACTGTTACCGCTGTGACCTTGATTTACAAGAAACAGCTTTGTACGCATTCTACCATAGTGCTCAGGAATGGTGATCTGGATGAAGCGAAAGTCATCTTTCGTCACAACGGGTGGGGGGGGGTTCCTGTATAAAGCCCCCCCACCCACGGTTAGGTCAGACTCTCTTCTGTATACCGAGTTCATGGGAGGGAGTGTCGTTCCCGGCCTGTTCACGGCTCTTTACTTCTGTTATGAACCAGATTGAGATTCCCAACCTCAACAGTTTGTTTTTGGCCCAAGATGCCAGATGGATTTCACAAACCTGTTGTGGGATAAATAAAAATTTACTGAATCAGAGAAATGAAATAGCTATTTTATGCCGTCATTGTCAAAAAGATTCCTTAAATAATATTTAAAAATAAAATTAAATAGTGCCACCTGGTAATATACATACTTATATTTAAGGTTGAAAAATAATTTTTATATACTGTAAGTAATTCTATAACATTTACTTGTTTTATAAATAAAAATATAGTCTATTAAAATTAATAGTGAAAATATTTTAAAGTAGTATTTAAAATTATACTTGAAACGAATTCTAACCTAAACATCTTTTAAAACTCTATCAAAGTACTAAAAGCACTTAAAAGAATCCAATAAAACACCTACACTAAAATGAAATTAAGATGAAAAGCTAGAAGATGTAGACCATTATATGACCCATGTCCTTTATGCATACAAGAGAAAATATATAATACTAAGTTTATAAAAAATAAAAATTTACTAAATCAGAGAAATGAATTTGCTATTTTTGCCGTCATTGTCACAAATTTTACTTAAATAATTATTTAAATAAAGAACTTTAAAAATTGTGACCTGGTAATATACATACTTATACTTAATATAGAAAAATAATTTTACTTACTGTTAGTAATTCTAATAGATTGACTTGTTTTAATAAGAAATATAGTCTATTAATATTAACAGTGAAAATATTCTAAAGTTGTATTTAAAATTGTAGTTAAATAAAAAGGAAGTCTAAACTAAACATCTTTTAAAATTGTAGTTAAATAAAACAGACTTAAAGGAATCCAATAAAACACTTACAGTAAAATGAAATTAATATGAAAAGCAAGAAGATATGAGCCATTAAATGACCCCTGTCCTTTGTACTTAAAAATTTACAAAAAGAAAAAAATGCCGTAAGAAATTTTTGCCGTTAACAAAAAAATTTTCAAAAAAATCGAGACGACATGCATACAACGGATGTCAGAATTCGTTGAAAAATACATCCCTACCCCTACCTAAAGCACATTTTCAAACGTAACTAATAACTGATGCATCAAAATTCAGTGAGAATAAACACGCAAGCACCTCTTGTCTGAATGAATAGATTTCTCGGTATCCTTGGAAACGTAAATTATGTATTTTTGCAGTGCCTTTAAAACCTAGTAATTAAAAAAAAATAAGCTACTCTAGAATTCGCTTGAAGATGAACTGGAACTAATGTCTTTAATTTAATTACAAAATTAAACTCGAGGATTTTGGCTTCTATTTTTGAAACATGGTTAGAACTGTGTAGCGAAAAAAAACATATTTTAAATCAGTTAATTATATATATATATATATATATATATATATATATATATATTTTGTGTGTGTGTGTGCGTGTGTGTGTGTGTGTGTGTGTGTGTGTGTGTGTGTGTGTGTGTGTGCTTTGTTGGGACCAGCATAAAGACACAAGAGTGGATTTCAGTTAATAAATATATTAACGAAAATCGGTAATACAATAATATACAAACGAGCAAGAATGTTAAGTCCGAACTCTACTTCTTACAAAAGCAATGCCTACTTTTATTTGTAACTTGGAAGAGTCCATCTGGGTATGGGTAATTTCCCATAACACCATACCTCCTAAGTCTTAACTCCACCGGAGTTTTAATGTCTTTTCCCCTTAGGATTAACGACGATAAAGTCTGTCCTTTTCCTTTTCCTCTTTAAGCGGCATTGCTCCGCGGCCGCTTGAGGTATTTGTATATCAAAAGTGTCATAAATGACATCCATGACTTTTTTTCTTCAGGAGGACTGCTGCCAGCATCGTCTGTCAGGCGTTTCCTGATTTGGTCTAAATGTCGCTTGTGCGTAAACTCTGGACCTTTGATTATGTAAACCATATTTCCTATCCTTTTTTCAGTTGTACCGATTTCCCAGAAAGATTTATTATCCCGAAAAATCCGGAAAAAAACTTCCTCTCCTGATTGGTAATGTTTTGCTTTTTTTTTCTTTTTTTTTTTTTTTTTTTTTTTTTTTTTTTGTACAGTATTTGTTCGTCCGGGTTTTGTTTTGGAGAGTAGCTTGTCAAACACAGACCTGATTTTACGTGCAAACATTAACTCGGCCGGAGGTAATGATAATTGTGTTTTGTCGTTGAGTGTAATTCTATAGACCTGAAGGAAGTGTTGTAGGGCTTTTTCTTCAGGACTCTTTTCAGCCTATCAACGAAGCGCTCAGCCTGTCCGTTGAACCTTGGGTGATATGGGGCAATCGTAATATGATTGATCTGGAAGATCTCACAAAAATCCTTAAAGTCGCCGAACGTAAATTGTGTCCCATTGTCGGACACTAGGCAATCGACTACCCCAAATCTAGCGAACGGTTCGTGGAGGAAATTGATTGTAACTTCTGTAGTGAGTTTTCTACATCTAAGGACTTCGGGCCATTTCGAAAAACTCTCTACTACTATGACATAGTAGAATCCGTGTAGCGGGCCCGCAAAGTCCACATTTATTCGGGACCATGGTCGGTCCGTTTTAGGTCAAGGACTATATTTGATTGGGGGTGCCTTAGCTGCCAAGGCACAGTCTTTAAGGGATTTTACCATGTTTCCGATATCCTTGTCTATGTTCGGACAGTACACATAACTGCGCATGAGGCTATCCATCCTTGAAATCCCTGGATGGCCGACATGGAACTCTTTCAAAATTCTTCTTTGTAGCGTTATGGGAATGATGACTCGCTCACTATATAGCAATACTTCGAAGTCTGTTGGTCCTTTTCACGAATTTTGGTTTTGGTTTGCCTGATAAACTCATCGTTTGATTTGGTTGAGAGTTACAGAAAGTTCCCTTACTGTGTTGCATAAGGTGGTTTTAACTTCTCCTTCTGTTCGAAGAAAAGCAATCACAGTATCTTGAAGAGGTTCCCTGTGTTTCGGGATTAATCTGGATACTCCGTCGGCATGACAGAGTTTTTAGACGGTAGAAACTCCATCTGGAAGTTATAATTTAAGAGGATTATTCCCCATCTCTGTAGTCAATTTGCTGTATGTACAGGCAGACTTTTTTTAGAACCGAAAATGGTAAGTAATGATTTATGGTCCGTCTGCAATGTAGTGTCTACCGTGAATGTAGCGGTGAAATTTCGTTACTGCGAAAATAATCTCTAACCACTCTTTCTCAATTTGGTAGTAGTAGTTCTCTGCAGGAAGAAGTGTTCTCGACACGTGAGCAACTGGTTTGTGAGATCCATCTGGCATCTGGTGCAGAATACATGCTCCAATACCAAACGAGCTGGTGTCGCTGGCAACTATAATGTCCAGGTCTGGGTTATAGTGGGTGAGAAACAAGTCCGACGTCAAAACTTCTTTTATTTTGATGAATGCTTTCTGGCATTAAGGTGTCTACTCTCAGTCCTTGTCTTTTTTCAGAAGTTCGTTAAGAGGAGCAAATAAGTTGTGTATATTAGGTATAAACACTTGGTAGTAGTTTGTCAATCCTAAAATACTTTGTAATGAAGAGACGTTTTCAGGAGCTGGTATATCCTTGATTGCAGTAGCCCGTTCTGGGTCTGGTTTTCTGCCATCTTTGTCGATAATGTGTCCCAAGTATTTAATCATCTCCATAAAGTTACATTTGGATTCATTCAATTTGAACTGGTACTCCTGAATTCTTGAGAAGACTTTATGAATATGTTCCTTGTGTTGTTCTACATTTTGGCTGTTTATTAATATGTCGTCCAAATATGCAACCGCGAAGTCAAGACTGCTCAGCATAGTGTCCATTACTTGTTGGAAGATTGCCAGCGCGACCTTGATTCCCAAAAGTAGACGTTGGAATTTGTACAAACCACGATGGCTGTTAATATAGAGCAATTTAGAACATTCTTCCTCTACCGGTATTTGAAGATATGCGTCACTGAGCTCGATTTTTGAAAAAAAATTTCCTCCATTTAGTTACGCGAAAATTTCTTCAAGGCTTTGTAAAGGATAATGATAGTCTTTGAGTAAAGCATTAATCCCCGTCGAGTAATCGGCTCAGACCCGGATCTCCTTTGACTTCTTTTTCACATAGACGATCGGTGAAGCCCATTGACTCTACTCAATTTTCGATAAGACCCCGGTTCTTTCTAATCTGTCGAGTTCTCCATTTATTTGTGGTAAAGAGGCAAAAGGCACATTTCTTTTCTTCTTAAACACTGGCTGCCTGTTATCTTTTAACTTGAATTTTGCCGCCATCTTATTACACCGACCAAAGTCCCTAGGAAAAAACTTACAGAAAAGTTTCTTTTAAATCTTTTATTGAATTCTTTTATCTCGTTGGTCAGGTTTTCGTGTTTTTGGCAAAATGAATTAATTGGCATGTCCCACAACTTAAATTTCTCCATCTAATCTGTGCCAAAAATATTTTCTGTATTCTTTAATACGTTACGTTTTTAGTTTTAACGTCCTTCCATGAAAAGTTACATTTGTGATAAGTTCTTCCTCAAACTTGATTTTCTCCCCTGTCACGGACCTGGCCATTTTATTAGATCTTAGCTTGGTTAGTTTTCTTAACTTTTTCCAAGTGTGTAGATTTATGATTGTCAATTCTGACCCAGAATCCAACTGTAATTTGATATTTTTATTTAGGATTTGTAATTGCACGTATTCCCTAATTTGTAATCCATCTTGTTCATCCGATTTTATGTTTTTTACGCAACTATTCACCTTTTTTCTCGCTCGGCAGTGTGAGCTCTTGTGCCCGATACGGTTACAAGTTAGGCACTTCTTATTCCGGAAAGGGCAATCCTTATACCAATGTAGTGACCCACAACCGGAATACGGATTAGGAAGCAAGTTGTCTTGTTTCTTTTTGGACTGGTTTGATTTAGAGGGAGAATTAGATTGTTTTTTCTTTTGGCGTAACTTTCTTACGTGTGATATGACAGATTCCTCGATGTTCTTCGAATCTTGGCTTACGCTTACGAATCTCTGACAGTCTTCCGCTATTTGTTGGAGAGTAAGGTTTGGCTCGTTTCCCAATTTGTTCAGAACTCTACGTCTAATTTCATCGTCTTTAGATGAAACGAGTCCCTGAAAAAATATCAGACACTTGAAATTATTCGAACTCAATTCTGACAGTTTAAAACCGTCGAAATGCTTGTTCACAACCGAAGCAAATGTTGTGTAATCTTCACTATCCTTTCTGGTTAAATTCATACACTTCCATCTCTTATGAAAAAGTGAAGTTTTAGGACTAAACGTTCTGTAAGAAGTTTAATCGTTTCGCTAAATGTCAGTTCGTTTGTTTTACGGAGAATTTTTAGTTCACAAATTTGGTGTGCTCCCTGGTGCCTAGTTTTCAAAGTAGTAGGCGAACGTTCTTAGAGTCTGCCCAATTCGCGCAATCTGTGGCGTATAAATCCTAGTACCTTCTAAAATAGGAAGAGAAAGTTATATCCTCGTTCGGAGAATATGCAAAATTGTCTCTTTCCCCCCAGATTTTGTTTTGTGAGAACGCATTTTCGTTTTCACTAATTTGTCCCTGTTTGTCAGTTCATGCAATTTTCTTTGCTCTTGTTGAATTTGAAGACCGCCTTCAGATGGATGAAGAGAACAGATCTCCCGAGATACCATAGCTGCCTTGTCACAAGAAAGAGAACAAGAGCCTTACTAATGACATTAGTGTGGCATACGGAAGTAAAAGTACAGATAGTCGGTAAAGGAGAATCGGGTAGATGTGCGAAACACATACTTCCGCCTTCTCCTTTAAGGAAAGATTCCTCTGAGACTACAGATTAACTGCGATCTTGGCCTTCTCTTGTACCTCGGACCTGTTCATTTCCAACTGGATATCAGGACCGAACCCGGCGCCGAGTATCTTGAACGGCTCATCCGTCCAGAGGAAAGGTCCGGGAAGAGAAACTCCCTTCTACGCACCCAACCGCAAGCCAACAGACTTATCGCAGTTGATCTTGGCCCCCGTCACCATCTCATAAACACTGATTTCTTTGCTGACTTCGTCAATCTCGGCTCTGATCGACCCAAGAACCGAAACGACATCAGGATAGGCAGAGTACTTGGCCGAGCTGGTAGCACCAGGCAAGAAAATTCCGCGTAGAACCGGATTCGTCTTTAACTTGCGAAGGAAAGGTTCCAACGCAAGAACATAAAGCAAAGGCGAAAGCTGACAAACTTGACGAATGGAGCGAAACAATACGAAAGACCATTCACTTCCACCAACGGAGTCGCATACAGAGGTCGGATCCAGGTGCGAAATTACGGCTCGAAACCGGCCACCGAAAAGATAACCTCCAGAAATCGATGGTCAACACTATCGAACGCCTTGGACTGATCTAAATTTATCAGCGCGGCTTCACTGTCGACTTGCTCGATGATCAAGCGTACCATATGAAGGTTGTCCTGAATAGTCCTACACTTCACAGCACAAATCTGTTCGGAGCCAATCAGACTAGACAGGACAGCTCGCAAACGGTTCGCTAAGACCTTAGCCAAAGTCTGTGTTAAAGGGCGAAATTTACCTAACCCCTCCCCACCGTTCTAGTCCTTACGTAACAAATTGATTACGCCCCTGGTGAAGCGTTGTGGTATAGACCACTGCTTCATCCAGTTGCCGAAAATCAGTGTCAGCAAATGAACAAAAAACGGGCGACTGCCTCAAGTACACTTCGTGAGGTATAGCATCTATTCCTGGAGATTTGTCCAGGCCAACCTGCTTCAGCGCTTCCCAGATTTCCAACTTTATAATGGGATCCTCACACCTATCCAGTAGGGAAAGTCAGTTAAATAGGCGTTAATTAAGCAGGGCTCAGACCGAGCTCCCTGGTGAAAAGTTCCAGAAAGTACTCACGAAAAGCCTCACATATGTCTGCGTTTGTAGTTACGGCCCGCTTATCCGGCAAATTCAGCGACCATATTGCCTCAGAGGACATTCTTTTTAACCTAGCCCTAACTGTCTGAAGTTTAATCTTTCTTGATAAGCAAGGAGTCCAACTCTGCTTTAGCCAAAGCTACGTCCCCACTATCACGGGATTTGATCGCTCGATCTAATTTTTGCTCACGAGGTGTTTGCGCCACTAATCTATCTAGATTGAGCCAACGACTATAATCAGCTGCAAACGTTCTAATTTTGGATTTTAAGTTATTTCACCAGGCATTCCCAACCACATGACAGTTCTCTCTGTATCATTAGTAGCAGCTGGTCCCGGAAATCTTGCTCACCAAATAATAACTTTAATTTCCAGTAGCCAGCCATCTTAACTTTAGACTTATCTAAGTTTACACGAACCGGACGAGCCTATAATCCGAATAAACTATATAATGGAAACGTGGACACCTTGAGCCCTACATTGACTCTCCTAAGACTAGGTCGAGGTAGCTAGAATGCACCTCTATAGCCGAGCCGCCACTATTAGTCCAAGTCCACACTACATCCCAGGGTATTCATTCCGGTACTTATCAACAAGATCAAACATTGTCGATAAAGTTCCGAAATTGTTTCACGTCCCGGTTGTTAGTACCCGAATTTGGCCGTATACGATCTATCTCGGGGTCAAGGACGACATTCCACCCCCACCCCCATCCTCTTATAAAACTACTAGGCTTTATGTAAAAAACGACTCGATCTGCCGAAACGAAGCAGGCCGCTCAGAATGGACATTGGGCGCATCAACCCCAATGAGATGAAGAGCCTTACCTTTTATGGTAACATGCAGCAAGCAAAATCTGCCCGCTGGATCTGCGAAGACAAGCGCACACGCAGCCTTCAAAGACTTGCTCACCAGCCAAGAGACACCCTCGAGCGTCCATCAAAGCATGCTGAATAGAGGGAAAATCCCAAGACAGAATGCTCTCTTGATCGCCAGAAGAAAAACGGGTCTGTTGCACAAAACATATATTCACCCCGTGACGCTGAAGGTCACGAGAGATCCTCGCCCTGTGAAACTCGGACCTCAGGCCTCGGGCATTCACACTTGCTAACCAGAAAGACATTATCAAACCAATTAGGGTTGCTCTCCTGCATTAAATATGACCGGAGTTAGGAAACCGACGGCCTCTCCCATTGAACCTGAGACAAGCCGCCAATGTACAGGGGTGAACGGAAAGCGGGAGCCTCCCTGAAAAATACTGATTTCATTTTTTCATGCTATCGTTATCAAAGAATGCAATTTGAGATACTATGCTAAAGACCTAGTTTGCTTCCACCACTATTGCCCATACATGTTTACCAGGGGCCCCGGTCCTGATTACAGGTAATATCCTCTTGGCGTTTGGAAAATTTCTGGGGTTTTCTACTTCCAGGTTATTTATTTTTTTCGAAATTTAATCAGATATTTCAGTTCTTTGAATTTTTTCACTGAGATGCTAGTTTCTCATCTTGTTCTTTTGTAATTGCACAAATATTTTCCCCTGTATTAAATTTCAAGAGCATCAGTAGACAGACTTTCTCTCTCTCTCTCTCTTTCTATATATATATATATATATATATATATATATATATATATATATATATATATATATATATATATATATATAAAAGCTGTTCATATCTATCTATTTTCTCTATCTCATATTCATATCTATCTATCGAGATATCATGGTCATATCTATTTATCTATCTATCTCAACTTGTTCATATCTATCTATCTCATCCTGTACATCCTCTCTCTCTCTCTCTCTCTCTCTCTTATATATATATATATATATATATATATATATATATATATATATATATATATATATATATCAACTTGTTCATATCTATCTTTCTATCTATCTGAACTTGTTCATATCTATCTGGTCCTATTCATATCTATCTATCTATCTATCTATCTATCTATCTATCTCATCCTGTTCATATCTATTTATTTTTCTATGTATCAATGTATGTATCTATCTAATTCTCTTCATCATATCTTTTTATCTATCTCTTTCTTCAGTATCTATCTGTCTATTTGTCTGTCTATGTATCTAACCCTGTTCATATCTATCTATCTATATATATGTGTGTGTGTGTGTGTATGTGTTCTCTCTCTCTCTCTCTCTCTCTCTCTCTCTCTCTCTGTGTGTGTGTGTGTGTGTGTGTGTGTGTGTGTGTAACAAATATAAAAAAAAACTTTCTGCCGTTGAAAATGTCCAGACAATATGCGTGGAACGGATGGCATTATTCCTTTGAAAAAAAAGACACCCTGACCCTACCTTGACTTAACCTCTCTTTTCAAAGTAATTAATATGTTGATACAATAGTTTTCAGGGAAAATGAATACCCTACCATATCCATAAAACAAATATTACGAATTTCTATGCTTATAAAACTCCGTAAATTTCAAAATTAGTTATTTCAAAATTCGCTTGAGGATGAAACAAAACTAGGTACTGGAAGTTTTAGTTTCTGTTTTTGAAACATGGCAATTCCTATGTAGCAATGGAATCATATTTTTTTAAAATAATATATATATATATATATATATATATATATATATATATATATATATATATATATATATATATATGTTCATATGTATCTATTTTTCTATCTCTTCTTGATCATATCTATTTATCGATATATCTCATCCTGTTCATATCTATCTACCTGAACAGCTTATTCTTGGTGCATTTTTCTGTTTTTTAGATGCTATATATATATATGTGGATATTGTATTGCTGTTTGAGTATTTACTGTCGTAGATTGCGTGGTCGTGGCTGTGTTTTCTTTTCTTGAATGGTCCCTCAGTGGCCCCAATGTAGTACATTGTGCTGTTGTTTGCACGTGAAACTGAGGGTCACAAATTCACATCAACCTAACTAAATATGTTAGCTCTATTACTGATATTGAGCACTTTCCAATAAGTAATATAATAAATAGATAATAAATATAAAATTGCATATTATGTATATATTTATATTCATATTTCCCACATATATATATATATATATATATATATATATATATATATATACTGTGTGTGTGTGTGTCTGTGTCTGTGTCTGTGTCTGTGTACAAGAAACGTAAGATTAAATTCCGTTTCATGTTTTAACCTTTGCTTCACTTTGTTCGTCTGTTCATATTTATCTCTCTCAGTTTTTCCTCTGTCTGTTCCATTTTTATCTATCTATCTATATATCACGCCTTTTTCATATCTTATTTGATTTTTCTATATATGTCTATATTTCTCAGCCTTGTCATGCCTATCTATTTATATATATATATATATATATATATATATATATATATATATATATATATCTGTCTCAGCCTTTTCATATCTCTCTATCTATTTTTCTATCTGTCTATCTTTCTTAGGTTTTTCATAATTATCAATCTATCTTTCTCGGCCTTTTTATATCTGCCTATCTATATATCTATGTATCTCAAACCTTTACATATCTCTCTATCTAAACCTTTTCATATCTGTTTATCTATATATCTATCGATCTACCCAAGCAGACAGTGAATGAAAGAGAAAGAGTTCATTTTAAAGACTTTTTTATGACATTCAGTTGAAAATTTTAATAATTTCAAAATAAATGAAGACAGCGCCTTTGTGGATATAATATATTTTTATATGTAGTAACAACTGTGACAAATTCATTCATCCACGGTAAATGAGAATGTTACTAACAATATGGTTTTCTAAAAAAAACTGGCAAAGATTATTAGTTTGTCATCTGAAACATCAATGTTTGCAGCAATATTTTCTCTTTTGTTAAAGTGGGATATTTTTCTTGTGTTATAGATTATCTATGTATGTAATATATTTTTGTAGAGACATTATAGTTAATTTAGAATAGAATATAGTTTAATGTAGGTATCTCCAGAGATTAGCTAAAAAATGAAATATACATTATGAAAAATGTCCCGAGATTAATAAATCACAGTTTTATCGTCACCATCTTTGTTATTATTAAAAGGAAAGTAAAAAAGATTTTAATTATTAAGTTGTTTTTTATCCTTTTAGAATGTTAGACATTTAAAATTTCTTACATCAGCGGGGCACCAAAGCTTAGTATCTGAAATTTTAACGTCTATTTTTCATTGAAACTAACATTGATTTAGAAATTCTTGCAAAAATTAAATAATTGTCGGATTTTATTAATACTTTCAGGACTTATTTTCAAATTAATTAAATTATTTTAGAAATGTTTGTTTTTGAATTTTAATTAATTTTATGGAATTTCGTTAAAATAATTTTGTAGTGCTTTATGTTAATATTAGTCAATTTATTTTGTAAAAACAGAACCACCAGTTACCGAAAATCCGCTCTAAATCGTAAAACAAAAGACAATAAAGCTAAGACGTTATTTAGGTAGAAAAGTTTTTAATTGCTTTTGTGAATAAGATATATGGACAAAATATAAAGAATGCTTTCACTAAAGTCAAGTTTATGATTTAATGAGAAATGAGTAAATATACAACACCTAGTCGTTAAGTGATATCCACTTGTAGATAATGCAGGGTAACCTTATAGCAAATATATTCATCATAACTTTTGTTTTTGTTAAACTTACTGCTTAGTACGCATTGTAGAATCTTTGTAAGAATATTTTTTCTCTTTCACATGGCCATTACAATAGAGCCAGAAGAATACCAAAAGTTATGACAAAATATTAGTCCCGGTGTTGCCCGTCATTGTTTGCGAGTGGACATCGATTAAGGCCAATTAGACGTTGTATAAAGCAGAAGAAAAGGAAAGGACACAAACCCTATCTTTCTTCTCTCTTTAACCATTTCACACTTAGAGATCTTTCTTAGCATCCAGGCGAACCACACATAACATGCAACACAATAAGCTAGGTACCTCTAAGATACAAAATGAATTAAAAAAAAAATTCTTTAAGCTTTAATTAAGAATAAACTATTTTATTTCAGGAATTGTGGCGTATATTCTCTCGTCAGTAATTTTAGCATCAGAAACTGCTCGGAGTATCACAACGGACTTGCACGTAAGTGATAGGAAATTTCTCATGTTGTAAAAATCCTTTAAGAGCATTGTCAAGTAACATCAAAATCTTGTCTGTAATTTTAATAAATACGTTTATATTTTAATAATTTTACCGCACATCCCACACTAGGTTTACATGATAATTATTTCTCTCTATTTCATTAAATGCGTAAAATTGCACCTAATTCATTATCGCCATTTCAGTTATTATTTTGTAAAATTTTGACTGATATGTTCGTCAACTTTTCTTTGAGTTTAGAAGTTTGTAAGACAAAATAATCTGAACGAATTCCCTGCTGCACTGAGAAACGCATTGAAAACATTACATTATCTCAAAATTCATTACACTAAAAGACTTCTTTAAATAAGTCTTACATACCTTTTTTGTTTCTTTCTTTTACAGTTAAGAATGAATCTCTTGAGGTGACAAGTACGTATCCTTTACAATGGGAAAAATTCCGTTTTCAATATTTCCAAGACAGTGTACACGAAGAGGTTTTCAGTTCAAATTCAAGTTAACCGAGAAAATAAGAATTCATTTCAAAATAAATCCAAAGCAATTTAAGTCAATATATTTATATAACTATAAAATATTTCTGTAAAATTCATTTCACTCGTCAAGCATCAATATTTTTATACATTGAAAGTTTGTCAAGAAGCAGCGAATACAAATAACTTATTATTTTCAAAGACTCGATTTCAAATAATTTCAGAATTGTCATTAGTAAAAATTCATATTTACAAAACTAGGATAATGTATCTGATTGTACATAATGTCATTATGATTTTGATTCAAACCAAAAGTAGACAATAAATACTGAATATTACAACATAAGTCCAAAAATATCGATATTCTTAGAGAAAAAAGGTGATGATGAAAGAATTGCTAAAACTGGTACGATTGATAATGGCGAACGCGGAATAATTTTTATAACCATAAATGAGAAAAACAAATTTTCGTAATGTTGAATGGTCAAGTCAAATGATTAATATGAATGCTAATGTCTTTTATTGTGCTATCAGTCGAAGGTTGTGATTATTAATCATGACTTTTATTTTTGTTCACATTAGCAAGCGAAGAAATCACAAGCACTCAGCCATCAACGATTCAAACTTCTGGTAAGTAAAACTCATATAGAAAACTACTCGGATTGCGTCACCTCTTTGTGATTGATTTAAATAATGAAATCACTTAGATCTTTGCTTATTGAGTGTGAATGTAGGAATATTTAAAGTTGATATCATCAAGTTGATAATCAAAATTAAAAGGGAATGAGAAAATAGGATTCTCAGACGTATAAAGTTCATTTTTGACAGCAAAATATATATGGGGAACATTGTATAAATGCTCAAATTAAAGTCGAATTGATTATTAAAAATGCCAAAATTGAAAGTCAAATGATTTTATTGAATATTAAAGACGAAAATGAATGAGGTCCATAAATGTTAATACTGAAAGCAAAATGGTTACTATAAAAACTAAACGGGAAGAGGAAGGGATTTCTATCAATGCTACAACCAGAATTATGTTTATTAATGGTATCTGGTGAAGCAACAGTATTACTATAAATTCTAAATAGGAAATGGAAGTGTTTCTCTATAAACGCTAAAAGCTCAAGTGGGATCCTGCTTATAAATTGGAAATGTGAATGATTCAAACGCTAAATGAAAAGGCGAAAAGATTGCTAGATATACTAAAGAGGAAAATAGAATCATGTTTATGAATGATGAAAGCAAAGTTTTTGATATAAATTATAAACATGAAGGATAAATAATTGTAATAAATGATAATAGCGAAAAGTCTATGAATGCTAAATTGAAATAATAATTATTGCTATGAATGCTAAATTGAAATAATAATTATTGCTATGAATGCTAAATTGAAATAATAATTATTGCTATGAATGCTAAACATGAAAGTGAAATAACTGCTATAAATACTAAATGTGAAATCAAAATGGCTTTTAATGAATTCTAAAGGTGAAGTTCGGGTGATTGCTATAAATCCCGAAAGGTGAAACCAAAAATGATTCCAATAAATTCTAAAAGTAATTTTTCGTAATGGTGAATGTGAAAGTTAAATGATTGTTATAAATGCTAAAGTCATTCATTATGCTATTAAACGATGTCTGTGACCATTAATCATAACTTTTGTAGCAACCGAAGAAATCACAAGCCCTCAACTGCCAACAATTCAAACTTCTGGTAAGTAAAGCTCATATAGAAAACTATTCACGTTGTGACTACTGTTTGTGACTCATTTAAATATTGACATTAGTAAAAACTTTGCCTATTTATTGTGAATGTGGCTATATTTCAAGTGATGTGATAACGAAAAATTAGAAGAGGAATGAATTGCTATAAATGCTAAAAGGTAAGAGGAATGAATTGCTATAAATGCTAAAAGGTAAGAGGAAGGGATTGCTATAAATGCTAAAAGGTAAGAGGAAGGGATTGCTATAAATGCTAAAAGGTAAGAGGAAGGGATTGCTATAAATGCTAAACTGGAAAAGGAAGAGATTGCTATTAATGTTAAACACTAAGAGGAAGGGATTGCTATAAATGCTAAAAGGGAAGAGAAAAATAGCTATGAATGCTAAACAGAAAGAGGAAGAATAGCTATAAATGCTAAACGGGAAGAGGGGGGATTGCTATAAATGCTAAACGGGAAGAAGCGATTGCTATAAATGCTAAACGGAAAAAGGAAAGGGTATAATTTAAAATGCTACATGGGAAGAGGAATGGATTGCTATAAATGATAAACGGAAAAAGGGCTTGCTATAAATGCTAAACGGGACGAGGAAGGGATTGCTATAAATACTAAACGATAAAATGAAGGGATTGCTGTAAATTCTAAACAGGGAGAGGAAAAGAATGCGACAAATGCTAAACTGGAAAAGGAAGGGATTGCTATAAATACTAAACGCTAAGAGGGAGGGATTGCTATAAATGCTAAACGCTAAGTGGAATGAATTGCTATAAATGCTAAAGGGGAAACGGAATGCATTGCTACAATGTTAACTGGGAAGAGGAAGAATAACTATAAATGCTACATGGGAAGAGGAATGGATTGGTACAAATGCTAAACGGGAAGATGAATAGATTGCTATAAATGCTAAACGGGAAAAGATTGGAATTGCTATAAATGCTAAACGGGGAGGGGAAGGGATTGCTATAAATGATAAAGTGGAAAAGGAAGGGACTGCTACAAATGCTAGACAGGGAGAGGAAGGAATTTCTGTAAATGCTAAACGGGAAGAGGAAGGGATCGGTATAAATAGTAAATGAGAATAAGAAGGAATTGCTATCAATGTTAAACAGGTAGAGGAAAGGATTTTATATAAAAGCTAAAGTAGAAGAGGAAATGATATCTATAAATGCTAAACGGGAAGAAGGGATTGCTATAAATGCTAAACGGGAAGAAGGGATTGCTATAAATGCTAAACAGAAAGAAGGGATTGCTATAAATGCTAAACAGAAAGAAGGGATTACTATAAATGCTAAACGGGAAGAAGGGATTGCTATAAATGCTAAACGGGAAGAAGGGATTACTATAAATGCTAAACAGAAAGAAGGGATTGCTATAAATGCTAAACGGGAAGAAGGGATTGCTATAAATGCTAAACAGAAAGAAGGGATTGCTATAAATGCTAAACGGGAATAAGGGATTGCTATAAATGCTAAACGGGAAGAAGGGATTGCTATAAATGCTAAACAGAAAGAAGGGATTGCTATAAATGCTAGACGGGAAGAAGGGATTGCTATAAATGCTAAACAGAAAGAAGGGATTGCTATAAATGCTAAACAGGAAGAGGAATGGATTGCTATAAATGCTAAATGTGAAAAGGGAGAGATTCCTACAAATGTTAAACGGGGAAATTGAAGATATTTCTATAAAAGCTATACGGGAAAAGGAATTATTTTTTTTATAAGTGTTAAACGAGTACAGGAAGTGATTTTATATAAAACCTAAACCAGAAGAAGAAATTATTTCTATCAATGCTAAACGGGAAAAGAAGGGATTGCTATAAATGCTAAACCAGAAGATGAAGGGATTGCTATATATGCTAAACAGGAAAAGGAATGGATGCTATATATGCTAAACGAGAAGAGGAAGAGATTGCTATAAATGCTAATTTTTCGTAATGGTGAATGTGAAATTTAAATGATTGTTATAAATGCTAAAATCTTTTATTGTGCGATTAATCGATTTTTGTGACTATTAAACATTACTTTTTTAGATACCGAAGAAATCACAAGCCCTCAACTGTCAACAATTCAAACTTCTGGTAAGTAAAACTCATATAGAAAACTATTCACGTTGAGCCAACTGTTTGCGTCTCATTTGAATTTTGACATCATTTAAAATTTTGCTTAGTCATTTTGAATGTGGCTATATTTCAAGTGATGTGATAACGAAAAATTAGATAGAAATGAGAAAAAATTTTACTGAACTTACGAAGTACATTTTCCACGGTAAAATAATAATCGGGACAATTGACAAGGTTAAAAGTGAAATCGAAAAGAATTTAAAGAGTGTTAAAGGTGAAAGTGAATGCTGTCCATAAATGCTAATGTTGAAAGCTAAATGATTGCTATAATTACTAAACGAGATGTGGAAATGATTTCTATAAATAGTAAACGGGAAGGGATTGCTATAAATTTCAGATGCTTCAAAGTCGCAAGACATGAACAAGATTTACGCATGTTTTTGTCACATACACATTTTGTTACAAAATTTTTAGATAAATATTAAGAAATGCATGTATGCAATAATATTTATTCGTGTATTCAGTTTTTAAATTAAATCAATTTTAAATTTAAGTTGTATTATTTCCAGTAATCACAATGTAATATATATATATATATATATATATATATATATATATATATATATAAAATGTTTTCAAAATTTCGACTGATGACTGTTTTAATTATATTGAACGTAGTTATTACGGTAATGAATTACAGGAACGTCTCAGAAAAATGTGCTAAGTTGCATTTCCCTTACAGAATTAGACTGCCAAAAATAACACTAAAAAGAAAAGAAATTGTATTTTTCATATCTATGTCTTTGTAAATATCTGGTCAAAACACTGAAGAGAATACGTGAAAAAAAAAACCAATAAAATTAGAGATATTTTAAACAGATAGCAGCTAACAAAATTATGGTCTTATCATAATATCTAAGGCAAAGAGACAATGCAATGCGTATCATGCTATAAAATCGTTATTTACTGCTATTAAAGGTCTTGTAGGTCTCCATTTTGAATGTAAGTTGTCAAAGTTGTGCGAATAAGCTTCGTCAAGTTTTGGTTTGTAAGGACTGAAAAATGTTTCGACTTCATAAATATCATTGCAAAGTGCAATGATTCAGAGCAGTATGTTGCGCTGAAAATTAAACAATAGTTTTCTTCAATTCTGTATATTTTATTCTGGGACTTTTTTCCAGAACGCAATGGTAGACTAGGATCTATTGACCATCTTTAGATCATGGACTTCCTGTAATTCCGTAAATTCTATTTTCATAGCAGATGATTCCGTAACCAAAGGTTCAAGAATTGGACATCTATTATTGACCACATCAACCATGAATAGATTTACAAGAAAGACAAAGCAGGGTTTCAGATACCTTAACCTGGTTAGGAAATTATCAATCAGTCTTTGGAATTTACCTTTGTATTCTTCTAATTTTCTGGTCTTTTATTTCAATATCAGAGAATGTATTTACTTTCCTACTGAGATTAAGAAAGTGACTGAAATTCCTTGACAATATGTCTCTTCGAAATACACTTATTTAATTCTGAAAGCTGAATATAATCTTATTCTTCTCTTGGAATGGCAAGTTGAGATTTTGTAGATTATTCATTATATCATTAAGGAAAATTAATAATATGATTCAACAGATCGATAAACCTACTCAAGACGTTGATGTTTGACAGCCACCTCATTATGCAATAGAAGGGAAATCACTGGATTCATCTCCAAGTTCCTGTGCTTCAATAAAAATTCGGAATTGTCCGTGAGACTTCCCATTTAAGCGTATAAAATTGACAATTTCAAGGACAGATTTCATAACATCTTCATATTTGAAATATCTGGCTGTCGGGTGTTCACGAGGAATAACGCAATTAATAGGGAGAAACTCTAGAAAGATGAGATCATTTTTTTATATGTGGAATTAATTCTACATTTTCCGACTATTGCAGATGCTTCATCTGTTGCAGCACTGACACGTTTATTCAGTGAAACATCAGCATTTGTTAAGGTTCTGTCAAGCGCATTTTTTAATGTCAACACCGCGTGATGTTTCTTTTAATGCCACCAAGTCCAACATCTGTTCATTTACATTTAAATCAGAGGAAACATAACGAACAAATACTCTGCCAGTTGTGGCTTGTTTTTTATGTCTTTTTTTAAAACAAGAACGAAGCTGAATGCAAGAGAATGTTTTAAATCATTTTACATTTTACCTTCAATATCAGCAGCAGTCATCAAAGACAACATCAGAACTGATCTCTCTAGTGTGGCATGAAACTGGTGTTTCTGCTATTAGTCGATGAAGTTTTGTGCTATTTGGATCTAACATTGCAACAACTTCAGCTATATTCTTCTTAACAGATTCGCCATGAAAATATGGCCATTTAGCACGAGCAAAGTTCCATGACGTAACGAAACTGGCTTCAATCATTGTATCGGCTTCCTTATTGAACGTTGTCAACAGTGTCCGCTGGCTATTTTGTGCTGATTTTAACCCAGTTAACGTGTTTTTCATTAACTCTGATTTAGGTGAATGAATCATACCAAAAGTTATTTTGTGGTTTGTTTGTGGCATTTCAAATGACTGGGTCTATAATCCCTAAGAGACACATGACAGATAAGGCACAAACGTTTACCTCATTTAACAGTGAATGTAAAATCTTCGTTGCGCTCTGGCTTATCATTTCTGTTTTAACCGTCATATTACAATTTGAAGAGGCCATCGTCCTTTATAAACTTTTCGCAGACACTTTAAAAAAAAAACATATCCGAAGTGTACCAACAACGTCTGCACAGTTCAACGACTTGTGTTGCACTGCATTAATGTACAGGACCTGAGTTCGGTCCCCTTAATTCTCTGACCTATGACCTATGACCCATGACCTATGACATCGGTCTTCTGACATTCCTCTGCAACTCTTGCTGACCGGAAATTTTATTAATTACTTTGATTTCCACCATTAAGTAGAATTTCCCAAAATCTTTAACTTTGTATTAAGGGTCGAAAATTTCCAATCGCATCCCCCCCCACCGTATTTTTGTTTTGTATCGTAGAAGCTTCGTCACACCCCGTCGAGGAACAGTCTCCTATTTGATCCAGTCAATGAAGAGAATTTTATCGCAAACAAACATGGGCGATAGTTTCAAGTAGATTTCGTAAAGCAAAACCATCGATGTCGACAATCTTATCTTTCCTAAAATTCTTCAATGCTTCCCAGATTACTTCCCCTGCGATCATCCTAACTAGTTGTGAAATAATTGTCGAACTGTGGCCAAATCAGACAAAGCTTACTAGTCAAAAGCTTTCAACGGCTCTTGCAGAGCCGGATGACTGAAATCCGGTAAAGGATGACGGGGAAAAAATGCACACGGAGCACAACTCAGCTCTGCCCTTTAAAGACGACCCCACCTTCGGAGCCCAGTCCGGACCGACGTTCCTACTTTTGACAGTACCTCCGACCAATTTTTTTCTCCAGATGGACATCCAACCCGAAGAAAACTCCAACGCCTTTCAAAGCACCAAACCGCACGCTGTAAGACATGTTGTCATTAATCTTGGTCGATGACCTTCTCCTATCGTTCAATGCCTTCTGTACCACAAAAACAGAGACGTCATTGCTTAAATGCTTCCCTTTCACTTGCACTGGGGGGGAGGGGGCGATAGCAGGTTGATCCACTTGCAGAAGTCGGCTTGAATCCGGAGGTCTGCAGAGCAGCAACAAAGTGCTGATGGTCGACCGTGTCGAACGCCCTGTACTGATCGAAATTGACGGCGCGACTTTATCGTCGTCTTCTCCACCATCTAGGATCATGGGGATCAGATGCAGGTTGCTCTGAAATGTTCGGCCTTTCGCAGCACAAAGTTCAGCCCGAACAGAATCTCGCTACTGACTGCAAACGCTCAATCAAGATCTTGGCCAAAATCTTTAACTCCGTGTCTAGCAAAGGTAGAGGTCTGTCATTTTCTAAATCCCGCACAACATGATTTTCCTTTTTCAACAGCCTGATCACACCACTAGAGATCCTATCAGGGATGGACCACTGCCGGAACCTCTTTGTTGAACACCACTGTCAAAATCTGCACAAACATGTGAGACAGCCTCAAGTACTATTCACGGAGCAGACCATCAAGTCTCGGAGACATGCCATTGCTGGAGCTATTGCTCCTACTGCGACTGCTCTTTCTGGAGCTGTTGTTGCTGCTGGTTCTTCGTCGGCCACTGCTACTGTTCTTTCTTTAGGGATTTGTCTTTCGTCTTTAAACCAATCAATAGGACTGATTTCGAAATTTCTGATACTACTCTGACGCAAATATCTCCAGTTATTTCTATCAAGGCCAATTCGCTCGAAGTTAGTATGAATCACATTGACAACTATGAGGTTACTCTTTGGCTTGTCTTTATACATGACCCACGACCGCTCAACACTCATTTGCCCACTGTCAAGCTGGCTACACATGAGACCCTTCATACTTGTAACGTGACCAGCCCAGTGATGTTGTGACTGCATCAGAAAATTCTCAATTTCGCCAATGTTGCATTTGCGTGAAGATCAGTATATATATATATATATATATATATATATATATATATATATATGTGTGTGTGTGTGTGTGTGTATGTATGTATGTATGTATGTATGTGTGTGTGTTTTATATACCTATCTTATATAAATAGATACATTAAAAGTCTAAGTGACAGACATTTTTTGCTATTAGTTGTTAAACATTAACCTCATGCAATAGAAGTGCCAATGACGATCTCAGTTGGAAAGTCTTGAAATTCAGTGATCTACACTTAGAATTCATTGGACATGTACAATATTATGAAATATCAAAGACTATTAATTGTACATCATTTAACAAAATGTGTCGAAGAAGGTTAACAAGTGCAACGCCTTCGATTTTGTTGGAATGAGATTTTGATATTATTAACCTATTAAGAAATCGATTTCCATCTTGTTATCGATTTGCCTTCGAAATTTCCATGAATATATTTTATGAGTCGAAAGGTTCATGATCTTGTCTTCCGTAACCCATTAAGAAACAATAGGTGTGTCTACATCAAGATAATCTCACGGATCACATTCCTCTTGAGATTAGTTTTTGAATTGCTATTTAACCCATAGTTGGGAATGCTATCATTACCAAGATTAAATATATTATCTAATTGTAAAGTAATGAAATACGACTTAATTAATAGAGAAATTACAGTGTGCCCAGTAAAAACACGGCAAATTCCGAAATAAATTTATTTAGCTATTTATGCACAAAATGAACAATCATCGTAGATGTTCAAAATTTTTGTCTGAATTTTCAGTATAAAGTTGAATGCGTGGTAACCAGAAGGAATTAGCTTTGGGAATAGAGCCAAGAGGAATTTCACCCCAAGAATCAGTTAGGTTCCACTTCAACGATGTCACGACGATGGTTTTTGCAAGTAAGTTAGGAGTATACTCCAGATACAGTAACCCATAACACTCATATCTTGGCTTTTAGAGGGCCACTGAGATAGACCAATTAAAGCTAATGCATTTTCTCAAAAAATAAATTTGCCGCCTTTTTACTGGACATCCTGTAGAATACTTAGTATTATTCATTAATGATTCTTCATAGTTAAAAGACACTTTTGTAAAACAACTAAATAAACCACATTGATAAACAATGCCTATATAAATATTTTCTTTCGCCAGATAAAACTGTAACTCATTCGACTAGTCCAGAAAATACAAGTAAGTAAAAAACAGACTTTGTTTTTTTTTGTTTTTTGTTAATATCATAAACGTGTATTTGTTGGAAAATCGATTGTTCCCATCCTATTCTAAGATTAAAGTTTCATTATATAACGCAATTAAGAATAAAGTGAAGATTTTGATGCCATTTTACAGATGATAAAATTTTGGTTGATATTCTTGTAGAAGAATATAAAAGAAAATATTTAATGAAAAAATTATTTTATTTTGCCCTGTCATTTTAAAGGGTAAATCTAAAGCTGTTTTCAAATAGCTAACTTTTGTCAATTACTTTTCTTTAAATATCATTGCAAATGTCCGTATGAAACATTCAGTTCAACTCTTCGTGAATGTTCAACTGTTATTATATTATTGTTTACCCATCTTACTTTAAGTGTATCTAACATTATATGACATTTTGTTAAAAAGCGCAGGGAAATATCATTGATTTTAAAATATATTTTCATTTCAATACATTTAGAAAACTTCATATGACAGTTTTGCTTATAACTTGCAACAATTCGTTTTAATTTTGTTTTACTTATTTACCAGCACCAAAACTGTGCTCTTGCAAGTGCCGGAAAAATTCAACTGAAACCATGGAAGATATCAAAAAACTAAAAGTCAAAAAAAAAGAGCTTTCAAAGTACAAACGTTCAAAGACTAGTGCCCCGGATGATCGGACTTCATCGCGTGTAATAGGTTCTGTTGCTATTGTGATCCTTGTTGTTCCTTTTGGCCTCATCATCCTTTCTGATATTCCAATTCTACTTCAAGCACTACATCAAATTTTGAAAAGAAAGAAAATATCTAAAAATGGCCATCGTGCCACTCTTAAAGTATAATTCTCTTCTCAACATTCGAAAACAATTGTTTCAAAAGAAATTAACGACGACTGGAATTAAATAATAATTGCATAATCGAATCACCGATATTCAAACATAAATTATAACTTCATTCAACTATGTTATATTATGTTTCTATTTTGAGTGTTTTTTCTCAGGCCTTTTCTTCATTTGATTATTAGATTTTCGTCAGTATCCTTTCTTTCTTGTATCTGATGATATTCCTTTTTTACTGTTATTTTAATTTCTTTCTAAAGAGAGAGAAAAATCAAAAGCTAATGCACTATCTTATTTTCATGATAATTTGCCTTATGTATTGTGTCTTAAAGTGATCGAACCTACTCGTTTATTACTGAGATTTGAACAAATATGAAAGTCCGCTGGATTAGAAGAAGCTTGAGTTAGACAAGAAATCAACAGTCACATTCACGCAGATATGAAATTCATAGTATTTGTTTATATTACAGAACGCAAACGTTAGACAAACAGCAAAATGATCATTTTAATGAATATAATTTAAAACCTTACTGGTCAGAACTCTGACGACCCGAATTGCGTCGGGATGGTTTGAACACCGTGGGATGAAATCCTGTAAGTGTCTGATGTCTTTAAATTTTGATATAAGGTATAAAAATTTACAAAAACTATAGTCCCACTCCTGCAAGAGAGCTTTGATGTTATTCGCACCCATGTTCCTTTACGCGCCGTGCAGAAAGATAAAACCACGACGTGGTGATCGTGGTTCGTTGGCTGACCTGATGACATCTGTTTTCTTTATCACCCCCATCCCCGCTATCTCGCTCGCTCGCTCGTGTTCTTTCTCCAAGGAACGACGCCTATAGACCCTACTGAAAAAGAATTAAAAAAAAACTTGTTTGTCATTCATTGAGTCTTTGTTAAGTTTTCTAATTAAGAATGTCTTGTAATCAAATGCACCATAACTAACTTATATTTAGACAATGACGGTTGTTAGGGCAATGAAATAGTTTTGCAAACTGTGCAGATTCTTTTAAGAGGCGTGGATTTTGAGGTAAAGACATCAAAGATTTGCAATTGAATTCTATTTACCCAGCGTCGATTTCACCAACTTTCGGAATTCTAATTGAAAGGAAGTTAATAATTTTATTCGCTCATTTTGTTAAAAATTTCGTTGCCTCTATGAACTTTCCTCTCTAAGTAACTCTCTTCATATAGACTTGTAATTGAAGGTATTAAAATAACAAAATGGACATATGTTTATATCTATGAGATGAGATATTATGATTACTTACATTATTCTCCGGACAATACCTCAACTTCAACTCCCACCGCCCACAGAGAGTTAACAAAGGGATCGTCCGTTGATTACAACATCGAGCAAAAGTCATAAGTGGCAACCCAGAGACATATGAAGAAGAAATGATCAGTATAAGCAATAACCTACAACATAAGAACTATCCTGGGTACATGGCATCAGGATAGAAGGGTACAAGAAGATGACAATACTCAGAAAACAGCCTCGGTCTGCCTACCCTATGTGAAGGGATTATCAGAAAAAATGCAAAGTATCTGTGGGCAATATAACATCAGGACAATCTTCAAAAGTAGTTCGACACTTCGCAGATACCTCTTCCGAGTAAGACCCCCCCCCAGAGGAGAACATGACTAAGGACTGAGTGTACGCCCCCACCCCCTGGAGCTGTGGTAAGAAATATAAATGGAAAACAGGCCGCTCCTTGAGGTAAGACAGCAAGAACATCGTGCAGCGGTAACACGACGGGAAATAGAAAAATCAGGCGTTTCTGAACAGATATGTAGGGAAAACGGAGATCACTGCACCCTGTGGGGTGAGGTTGAAATAAGAGATAGAGAGTATCACTGTAAAATACGAAATTTAAGGAATCAGCACATATGCTAGGCGACAAAAATCTCCTGAGCTGACCAAGCATAGAAATCAATACAACATGGGAACCAGTTAATAAGGAGTGCTAGAGAGAAGTAATGAATAACAACACTTCATGAAATATGACTCAAGATGAGCCTTACAAGAAATAGGACTCAAGATAAGCCTTTCAATAAATAGAATTCAAAATAAGCCTTTCAAATAATAGGAGTCAAGATATGCGTTTCAAAAAATAGTGCTCAAGATAAGCCTTTCAAGAAATAAGATTAAAAAAAAAGCCTATCAACTAATAAAACTCAAGATCAGCCTTTCAGGAAATAGGACTCAGGATGATCCTTTCAAAATAAGGACTTTAGATAAGTCTGTCAATAAATAGGACAAGATAAGCCTTTAGAAAAATAGGACTGAAGATGAGCCATTCAAGGGAAAGGACTTAAGCCTTTCATGAAATATGACTGAAGATGAGCCTTAAAAGAAATAGGACTCAAGATAAACCTTTCAAGAAATAGGACTCCAGATAAGTGTTTTTAAGTACTATGACTCAAGATGGGCCTTTTAAGAAATAGAACTCAAGATAAGTCTTTCAGAAAATAGAACTCAATATAAGCCTTTCTTGAAATAGGACCTAGGATTAGCCTTTAAATTAATAGGACACAAGATGATCCTTTCAAGAAATAGGACATTAGATAAGCCTGTCAATAAATAGGACTCAAGATAAGTTTTTCAAGAGATAGGACGCAATATAAAACTTTCAAGAAAAAGCAATCAAGATTAGTCTTTCAAGAATTAGAACTCGAAAGAAGCCTGTCAAGAACTAGGACTCAAGATTAGTCTTTCAAGAACTAGGACTCAAGATTAGTCTTTCAAGAAATCGAACTCAAGATTAGTCTTTCAAGAAATCGGACTCAAGATTAGTCCTTCAAGAAATCGGACTCAAGATTAGTCTTTCAAGAACTAGGACTCAAGATTAGTCTTTCAAGAACTAGGACTCAAGATTAGTCTTTCAAGAAATCGGACTCAAGATTAGTCTGTCAAGAAATCGGACTCAAGATTAGTCTTTCAAGAAATCGGTCTCAAGATTAGTCTTTCAAGAAATCGGACTCAAGATTAGTCCTTCAAGAAATCGGACTCAAGATTAGTCTTTCAAGAACTAGGACTCAAGATTAGTCTTTCAAAAAATCGGTCTCAAGATTAGTCTTTCAAGAACTAGGACTCAAGATTAGTCCTTTAAGAAATCGGACTCAAGATTAGTCTTTCAAGAAATCGGACTCAAGATTAGTCTTTCAAGAAATCGGTCTAAAGATTAGAATTTCAAAAAATCGGACTCAAGATAAGCCATTCAAGAAATAGAAATAAAATGAGCATTCCAACTAATAGGAGTCAAAATATACATTTCAAAAAATAGTGCTCAAGATAAGCCTTTCAAGAAATAAAGAACAGCCTGTCAAGAAAAAGAAGTCAAGATGAGCTTTTCAAGAAATAGGACTCAAGATAATTCTTTCGGGAAATAGAACTCAAGATAAGACTTTCGAGAAAAAGGACTCAAGATAGGCCTTTCAAGAAGTAGAAAACAAGATAAAACTGTCAAGAACTAGGACTCAAGATTAGCCTTTCAAGTAATAAGAGTCAAGATATGCTTTTCAGGAAATAGTGCACAAGATAAGCCTTTCAGGAAATAGGACTCAAGATATGTCTTTTAAGATAAAAGACTCAGCAAAATCCTTTCAGAAATAGAAGTTTAGATAAGCCTGTCAATAAGTAGGACTCAAGATAAGCCTTTCAATAAATAGAATTCAAAATATGCCTTTCAAATAATAGGAGTCAAGATATGCTTTTCAAGAAATAGTGCTCAAGATAAGCCTTTCAAGAAATAAGATTCAAAAAAAGCCTTTCAACTAATAAAACTCAAGATCAGCCTTTCAGTAAATAGGACTCAGGATGATCCTTTCAGAATAAGGATTTTAGATTAGCCTGTCAATAAAAAGTGCTCAAGATAAGCCTTTCCAGAAATAAAACTCCAGATAGGCCTTTCAAGAAATAGGAATCAATATAAGCATTTTAAGAAATAGGATTCAGGATCATCATTTCAAGGAATAGGACATTAGATAAGCCTGCCAATAAATCGGACTCAATATAAGCCTTTCAAGAAATAGGACTCAAATTAAGCCTTTCAAGTAATAGGACTTAAGATAAGCCTTTCACGAAATCAGACCCAATAGCCTTTAAATCAATGAGACTCAAGATGAGCCTTTTAAGAAATAGGACTCAAGATAATTCATTCAGGAAATAGAACTCAAGATAAGACTGTCAAGAACAAGGACTCAAGATTAGTCTTTCAAGTAATAAGACTGAAGATATGCTTTTCAAGAAATAGTGCACAAGATAAGCCTTTCAGGAAATAGGACTCAAGATATGCTTTTATAGAAATAGGACTCAGTATGATCCTTTCAGAAATAGGACTTTAGATAAGCCTGTAACTAAATAGGACTCAAGATAAGCCTATAAAAAAATAGAACTTTACATAAACCTGGAAATAAATAGGAGAAGATAAGCCTTACAAGAAGATGAGCCATTCAAGGAAAAGGACTCAAGCCTTTCAAAAAATAGGACTCAAGATAAGCCTTTCATGAAATATGACTCAAGATGAGCCTTACAAGAAATAGGACTCAAGATAAGCCTTTCAAGAACTAGGACTCCAGATAAGTTTTTTTTAAATAGCATGACTCAAGATTGGTTTTTCAAGAAATAGAACTCAAGATGTCTTTCAGGAAATAGAACTCAATATAAGCCTTTCTTGAAATAGGAATCAAGATAAGCTTTTCAAGAAATAAGACTCAAGATAAGCCTTTCAAGTAATATGACTCAAGAAGACCCTTTCAAGAAATAGGACTGTATTTTTAAGTAGTATGGAATACAATACTTAAAAAATAGGAATCCCCCATCAATACTGGAGAGAGTGATAATAGCTACCATACTTTAGAAACGAATTTCTCTGAAAAAAAAATTCTTAGGGATATCTTATAAATTTCAACGACATTATCACGTTTTATGTAAATATATAAGAAGACGATTCTGCGATTTATGGTACAAAGATCTAAAATGACCAGAGCCTGGAAAC